ACATGTTTATAGAGCACTTTCCTAATTGATAATTGATTGTAGGAGGGCACAGCATACTGTGGGTATTTCTTTTCCTGGGAAGGTGGGCCTGGACTATATAGGAAAGGTGGCTGAGCAAGACAGGGAAAGCAAGTCAGTAAACAGCATTCCTCCATGGTCTCTGCTTCAGCTCTTGTCTCCATGGTTCTGTTTGGGCTTGTGCTCTGACTTCCTTTGATGACAGACTCTAACCTATACAATATAATAAACCCTTTCTTCCCCAAGTTGGTTTTGGTCAGTGTTTTATCATAGCAATAGAAAGTATTAAACTGACTCCTAATGACTTATTGTTATATCTGTATATTAATGTATCTCTCAACTCTCACAGAGAAGGTTCCTTACGCAGCAGATGGTGGTTAATGTAGAAACTCACAACTGGCCTACTTGTAGAGAACAAGGGGCTTCTGAGTACTTGCCCTCAAACAGAACACATCTATCAAACTTCTACCTCCCAAGACTCAGGAATCATTGTGGGAGAGGGGGACTGAAAGATTCAAAGAGCCAGAGGAGGTGGATGACCACAAGAAAATAGTTTTCCAGACAGATGGACAGTTACTTATATAAATACAACAATGGTGACAACATGTACAGTTCTCACCTAAGTTCAAACCAGACAAAATCCCAATAGACATGGGGAAGTGGATAAGGAACCCCAAACCAACCCAAGGGACTTTTGGCAACCAATGGCTGCTGGTTTCTCTTTAAAGGTGGAACTCTTGGTAGGTTAACCAGACTCCAGTGGATGGATCCACACTGAAGGACATTTGGGGACACACATTAGAGTCTATAGGTTTTATTATATATATATAATAGAGTACATTACATTAGATGAGGGCAGTAAGGGGAGGTAGGACAGAAGAGGGTATGGAAATACCATCAAATTATATTGTATGAAAATCTCAAAAATTCAATAATTTTTTTGCCCTTTTGAGACAGGGTCTCCCTGTAGCCCCTGTTGGCCTGGAACTCACTATGCAGACCAGGCTGGCCTCAAACTCACAGAGATCTTCCTGCCTCTGCCTCCCAAGCGCTAGGATTAAAGGCATGCACCACCATGCCTGGCCAATAAAATTTTATATAAAAGAAAGCAAACTATTTCAATAATCCACGGTCATTCTCCATGTACTGTCTTGCCTCTTCACCCTGGGATATTGTTACTGCCCTGGGATCATTATTCCTCTAACCCACCCCCAGTTGGTTCTATGAGGTCTCATGTGCAGCTTGGCTTGGTTTAGGCTCAAGAGGGAGGTTTAGGGCTGCACTATTGCCTGATAAGCCTGCCACTGGAGGTGTCTCCCTGATTCTGACAGTCTCTGGGCTAGTACTATGGCTCTTGCATTTTTACAGCCACACTTGGCTGCTGATAGGGCACCATGCTCGATGTATCATCTTCACCTTCAACATACTTTTTTTCAGGGAAAAAAACATATACACACACTCCTAGGGTAAGCTTAATTCTTTTATTTGCACTGTTTTGTTAAGTATATCTTCTAAGTACTGTTGTGCAGGTTTTTAAGCCCTCTAGAAGCTCACTAGTAAAGCATTTGGCATTCTGTTTTTTGTTTTGTTTTGTTTTTTAACTGAAGAAACTGAGGTTAACATAAATATTGCCTCATTTGTTGAGTGATGTGGGAGGGCCTGCCCAGCCCACTGGAGTGGTGAGTGATACCACTCTGAGGCAGGTGGTTCTGGGTTGTATAAGAAAGTAGTCTGAGCTCCACAGACCAATGGAGCAAGCCAGTAAGCAGCATTTTTCCATGGTCTCTGCTTCAGTTCCTGTCTCCAGGTTCCTGCCCTGCTTGACTTTTCTCAATAATAAACTATGACATGGAAGTATAATCCAAATAAGCCTTTTTCTCCCCAAGTTGGTTTTGGTCAGTGTTTTTGTTGCAGCAACAGAAAGTTAACTAGGACAGACTCTTCTGTCTGTGTTGCATTTTTTCATCCTTTATTGCTTTATTAACTCAATTTATATGTCCATCTAAATCAGCTTTGCCAAAGCCTCTTCTATCTTTTAAATATCACACCCCACCAATGGGACTTAGCAAAGCCATTAAAGCCCTGTAGCAGTCCTGAGGTACAAATATCACCTTTTTGAGTCCAGTTCCCTTTATGTTTTCCCAGTCCTGATATTTATGAGAATCTCATTCAGGGATAACCAAGTATCTCTAATGACTCATATGATTCAGTCCATCAGACATTGATTTCCTGCATATTGCTTCATAGTTTGTGGTGTGTGTCTTGAAGAGGGATAGGTATTTACATTGCTCAGTTTGTCTGCGTCTGTGGCACTCACACAAATCCCATCTGCCTCCATGTTTCATAGTCTCATAAATCAGGCTGTCACAGGCTATCATTGCTTATCTAAAAGTCCTAATTAGAATAGTTCAGATTCTGAGTATGGCCTGATTATCATAGTTTCTTATAATTGGTTGCTGTTAATCTCCCTGTCTACATACTAAATCATGGACTTTACCTTCTTTTTTTAGTAAAGATCAGATCAAATGGACATTTTATTCTATTTTATTCTCAAGATCGTCACTGTCCTGTTGTTTCTCTGGGTTCCCAGTAAGGGCTCCTTAGGGCAGATGAAATTTGCATCTCCTTTTCTTATATCTTACCAGCTGCAACACATCCATTTCATTCTCTCCTTTTCTCATTTTTCCTGCCAAATCAGAGGCTAATCAGCAGATAGAATCCATATGTCTTTTTCCCATTCTCCCAATTCATGGGCAAGCTTCTAGGAAGACAGCTGGGTTTCAAGTACATTTCTCGTTACCCAGAATAAGGGCCACACAACTGACTCCCTGATCTGTTTAGGATACCATCCTATTCACACTCATTCAGTGATTTCAACATATTCTCTAGTCCATCAACATTTTGTGAGTCAATCTCGTACTTACATGGTAGACCCCATTCATCAAGGAAACATGCCACTCCATACTGTATAGAGGAGGATGACCATTCTGGTATTCCCCTAAGGATGGTATGTCTTTGGTTGCATGTCCTATTGCAAGAAGCAGGCAACGACCACTGTAGCAAGGAGGCAAGCCATTGTGGGGATTGCTCTTAGTTGCATGGATATCAGCACCACTGCAGGGGCCATACAACCATTCCTTCCAATTCATCTTTGGTTCTGTCAGGCCCTGTTCAAGTGCCAACTTTGTTGTGTTAACTTTTGCTGAAAAAATTGTATAACATCTGTTCACCCCAGGGCATTGATGGCAAAGAAACGATGCCACCCAAATGTGGCTTAGTGAATCAGTGAGTGTGTGGGGTTATTTATAGGACCATAGGTGCGGGGTTGCCTGCAGGAGCATGGGAGACCGTAAGGCAGCTATTAATTCATCCCTGAAAAACCCATCCCAGCATGGAAGATGGCTCATGAAAACTGTATCCCCAGAGCTCCCTGTACCACTTGCAGGCACCTCTGCCAGTCAGAGAGAGTCTCACTCCTTAGCAATATATACGTGTGGAGGACACTGAAAATCTTGTAACTTTTATGAGTTTGAGGAGCCTTGTATATTATGTATTTCCTGAGCTTTATAACCTTTGCTTACTTCCTAAGTCATTTTGTAGGAAATGGTTATACACCGCTTAGAAGACAAAAGGTCATCTGTCGCCACATCTTATAAACAAAGCTGGTCATATTTACCCAAGAGAAGTTATCTGCTTTCTTTAGTTGTTGTCTTGGGTCACAGAGAATCAACTGTCTTCCAAGGGTTAAAAATATGTTGAAAAGGCCAGGTGTGGTGGCGCATGCCCTTAATCCCAGCACTCAGGAGGCAGAGGCAGGCAGACCTCTGCAAGTTCAAGGCCAGCCTGCTCTACATAGTGAGTTCCAGGACAGTTTGGGCTATAGGGAGACCCTGTCTCAAAAAGACCCAAAAAAAAATTGAAAAAACTTAAATTTTGAATGGCCACCATACAATATTCTCTAGCAAGAAACACAAATGTTGTGAGCTGTATCATGCCCTTTCCTTTCCTTATAAAACATGGTACCAGCTTCTAGGAATATTGACATAGTTTTCAAACCTATCTTCTTTGAAAACTTCAGAAGGGATTTCCATATGACAAATAATCAAAATTTCCCTTGTTTGAAAATGCAAGATTTCCCAGAATCTGGTGAAATGTCAGAAGAATGGTGAAAGACCCTTGATTTAAATTTGGCTCTAGTGCTTATCAGTAGTTCAATTTTAGACAAATGGTGATAAGTTTTAATCTCAATTTCCTCATCTACAAAATGTCATACAATCTTTCAGTTACAATGTTATAATGAAAATCACACTCATAAAATATTTGTCTCCATATATAACACAAAGCAGGGGTTCCATAACTGTGACAATTTCATTAATTTGAAAAGAATAGCAAAACCAAAAAACTGTATCATAGAAGTTTTAAAAAATAATAGGTCCAACTGGAAAAAGTTAAAATTACAGCCATAATGGCTATTGTCTCAGTTTAGAAGTATGAAATAATCATGCAAGGCAGTAGAAACATGGAATGTCAGTGCTGCAGTGTCCATATGGCTCACATACATTACACTGAATATCACAGAAATAATATTTCTATGTATGCCATTGAAAGAAATAAAAATGCAGAAAAAAATAATCTCTGGGAACAACAGAGGTCGTAACCTTTTCAAATCAATATGAATTAGGAGGTTAGAGGAGCTTGGGTGCTGGAAATGTTTTATATTGGGAGCTTTTAGTGGTTGGTAACAGGAATATACATACATAAAAATTTATCAAGTTGTACACTTAAGATTTGTATATTTTGCTTGTCTGTCAGTAACATTTGCATACGTATAGACAATAATAAAATCCTGTTCAATTTGACTTAAGAGCTGGATTTTTCGGTCTGCATCAATTTGATTTGTGAAGACAGTATTTAGCTGTAGATCTGACGTGCCAACATCTTCCCACCTTGCAAGCTGCAGTTGTCAGTCCTTTGTATGTGACCCCATTTCAGAGCCAGCCTGGAGTCAGCAAGCGTATTGTAAGGGTCACACTTCATCATTATTGACAGCTGGAGATGCCACCACATGCCTTTGGCAGAAAGACACAGGGAAAATCAGGCAGTGGACTGTGCTTCCTACCCTCAAGCTGCAAGGCACAGCCCCAGAAACAGGAGGATTAAAAAGCCTCTCAATTTAAAGAGACAAGGGGGAGGGGAGTGTGGGCTGCACAGTTTATAAATAGGCATTGCTCAAGGCTGCCTGATGATGAAGTGGTTGTTTAATAAATTTTTCTTTTTTAAGGATGCCGTTATCAGAGGCCATTTAACAATATCACTTTCATTTATTGTTCTGGACGAGTTTCATCAAGTCAGCCCTGTTGGGTTATATTTCTTTCTGTTTTAGAAACAGGCCTTTAATTTTGAGTTATATTTCCATGGAGCACAGAGATGATGATGATGACGATGTTTCTTTTGCCAAATGGATGAGCAGCTTCTGGGGTCACAGCTGGAGAGACAAGGATGAGAGGGGACTCCGAGAATACCAGCGACCACAAGATGCCAGTTACAGGAAAGCCTCCCTGCCTTGCCCAGTGAGTTAGCACAGAACCGGGGGGAGCTGGAAGGGCAGGGATGGGGGATTCTCTCACAGAATGTTTGAGGAGCTCTTTGGTTTAAATTAGTACTTCCAACCCTTTTTCCATTTCTATAAAAATTCTTTTTATCTGTTTGTATTGTCCTTTAAGGGGCCTGGTTTTTAATGTTTTAAGTAATGACATCTTCATTTTTAGTAATCAAAGCTATCTTTAACTATTGTTCACAGCCCCTGATAAGTCACAAATAATTCCATTGAGTGACAGTATTGAGGTAAAAGGAGGGAAATTTGTAGTTGGTCTGCATAGTGTTCTGGGTCAATGTGTTTTCCAACAGTCTCTTTGAAATAGTGGAAATAGCTCCTCTATGCCTTTAAAGTCTTGAGTATTCTACATAGCAAATCACTACCTTTGATAAGTTTGATATACTTTTTCTTCTGGCTGCCATTGATTTTATGGTTTAAGAAGGGATCAGTGCTCAGCCCTGTCTCTCCATAGTAGGCAAAGCCAGGGAGCAAGATGCCAGCAAGAAGCTCCCAGGAGGGAAGTAGTTAGGCAGGACCAGGTTTGGACTCTGCAGCAGATGGAGGGCATTCTCTGCTCAGCTGCTGTGCTGGGAGGCTCCACATGCATGTCTACCTCTTCACACGTGCTAGCCATAGTGTTTACTTTCTTTTTCACAAGTCAGAACTCCCTGTTCTGCCAACCCCAGAACCAAGTACATTTTGGGGCAAATCTATTTAAGTTCAGTTTCAGGGCTCAGATGTACACTGCCTGTGAGGTACAGGAAAGTGAAGGGGAACAGCCAGTGCTAGGCAGCTTGAGGAAGGAGGCCTCTGAGGCACAACCTTTTCAAAACAAGTCTCTTATCAACAGCAAGGGCCAATGTCAGTACTTTTTGCTTCCATTTCTTTAAGTGAAGAAAGAAACCAGACTGGGTATTCTCTATGAAACCTAGCAACAATTTTCATTTTTTTAAAATTTATTTATTTATTTTAATTAAAAGAAGCATTTCATTACAACAGCATTAACCTATTCAATAACATTTTTCTGAGCTAGGGTACATCTCTTTCAAAATTGGCTGTACATTTTTAGGTTTACAGAGGAATTATTACGCTTGTACAATCTTTTACTGATTATAAACTCTACAAGACATAAAATTAAATGAGGTTTTCTGAGACATTTTCACATGCATTTCTAATCTCTATATACATGACCATAACTGGTCACAGTCACCCACCTTCTGAGCTCCTCAGCATCTGAGCATGAATACAAACTCGTCAGGTAGACAGCCTTCCTCTCCCACTAGAGCCTCCACACTCTGCTATCCCTGCCACTGTCTACTGTGCTGTCAGCACCCCCATCCATTCCCCCCTATCCGCCCCTCTGGTAAATCTAGTCAGCCAGAGGTCCCTGTTCCAGGAAGATCAGCTGTTCCCCATCAACGGCAATCCATTGTCAGCATTCCTTCGGATAGAATTGGGGTCTGCTGTTAATGTTTCCAGTAGTATGTTGGGTTACTGTCTGGAAGAGCCTTTATCCATCCTGGCCAAGAACTCGACTGAAGGCATTGCCCGTCTGGCCTTGCTGCTTGTCAAGTAACCTTCAGTTACACATATGTGTGCTCTTATGAAATTATATTGGCCCCTTTAATCCTTGGCTACACTTCCCTTTTGGGTGTTTAAGGACATACCATTGGACCAGATAAACTGATTTGTTTTCACTCTTGAGGTCGTTTGAGGATCTGTTCCTCAGGGGTCCCATGGGCTTGGGAGGAGCCCCTGGCTCCTTTCTTCTACCAGTTCCATCTACGTGGAGATAAGTCAAAGGTCCTGCTCGACCATTATTGGCTTCTCTTGGAAGCATGGAGGAAATAATTCCTCCGTGTTGACCCTCCTCTTTATAGACTGGACACTGGTTCAAGTCCATCTG